TGTAGAAGACAAGTTTATTAAAAAAGGGTCTTTTCAATAAAAAGAGACTCTGTAATCAAGGATGATGTTTCATATTTCATTTGGAATTTTTTTTGTATAATTTTGTTTGCCTCAGGGTAGGCTGTTTCTCAGAAGTAATTTGTAATTTGAGGGTAGGTAAGTGTTTTATCACAGAAGTAATAGAAAGTTAAAATTCTTACAAGAAATTCAGTACTGATAAGTTTGGTTGTAAGAATGTCAATTGCTTGTTGTTTGTTAAGCTTATCTATATTGTGATTTTAGGCAGCAATATTTTGATAAAGGTTTAGATATAGATAGAAATAGTAGTTGTAATGTTTGGAGTTAGTTGGAACATTATTAGCATTGCAAGCAGAGTTTTCTGCATTGCTTGCAAGTTTGTCAAATAATAAAGTTGGGATTTGTTTATCAAAAAATACTTCATGCTTGCTGTTTTTGTAAAATAGAGAGGAGTTGAGTTTGGGTTGTTGCCAGTTCTCATTTTCTTGTTTAGGAAAGTCAATATAGGATTTTTGAAAAATGCTTTTAAGAAATTGAGAAGAGTGTTCATAGTATTGAGATAGTTCTTCAATATTGGTAGGTTTAACTTCTTTTCTTTTTTTTGATTGTTCTGCTTTATTTAAATAGATGCAATTAATATCTGTACAGGAAAGAATATAATGATTAGTATGTTTAATTGCTTCATTATGACATTCTTGTAAGTTGTTAGATTTTGTAAAGCTTAGTTTAATAGACATAATTTCTTTAAGGTGAAAAATGAATTTTTGCTGAAATTGGTATTTAAGTATATTGAAAACCTTAGTTTCATCTATGGGTTTGATAAATTGATGATTATATAATAGAAAAAATTGGTTAACCATTGTTTAAAATAGTTAAATGAATTTTTAAGAAATAGGATGTTGAGTTTTTGTAAAAAGAGTGTTTTGGAAATGTTAAATTTAAGATATATATTAAATTTGCTATCAGAACTGATTATAAAATATTGTTTTTCTTTATCAAAGTTAACTATTTTAGATAAAATTCTAAATCTTTTGGGTTGAAGTTGAATATCTTCAGCAAATTTAATGTAGTCAATGGCTTGGTAATTGTTTGTAAAATAAAGATGAAGATGTGCAAGGTTAATGCAGAATTGTAATCAGTTTGGGCTTGTATAAGGAGAGATAGTTGCAGATGAAGCAAATATTTTTAGATAATTGTTTTTTTTTTTTTGATATTAAGATGACCTCTTTGGTCTTTTGATTTTTATTAATCACTTGTCGGTATTATGGTTCAATGAACCACTACAGAAGAGCATACAATTGGCTACACATGTAACTTTTCTATATTACCTATTTAAGGAGTC